AAATGGTGAATGATGATTCCGACGATGATGGCATCCCTAGTATTCCTGTAAACGAAATCTACACACCACCTCCGGACATGACAAACTTCAACATGGGCGGAGATGAACCTTCTACTGACTTATTTTTCAATCCGTATATGCAGTCGGATGAAAATTTAAAAGAGAAGGACAAGTTTCGTAACATAGAGGAATGCACCAGGGCCATTAAAAAATTCCACATGCTCAACTCGGTTGATTTTAAGGTGGATCGTGTCAACCCGGAAAGGTACAAGATCAAGTGTGTCCACCCTGACTGTATGTTCAAGCTGACCGCATCATACAGATTAAGGGGTGACTGCTGGGTCATAGGTTCCATGACTACCCACACTTGTGTAAGTTCCACTCAATCACAGGACCACTGAAAACTCAACTACGATCTCATCTGTCAAGAAATCCTACCCCTGGTCAGCAACGACCCATCTTTGAAGGTGAAAACAATCATCTTCCACATCACCACAATTTTTAACTACACTCCGTCTTACCGTAAGGCGTGGTTAGCAAAGACTAAGGCGATTGAAAGGGTGTACAGAAACTGGGAGGAGTCATACCAAGAACTTCCCCGCTACCTGAATGCACTCAAGACGTATTCTCCAGGTAGTGTTTACATTCTGGAAATAGTGCCAGCATACGCCCAAGATGGTAGTCTACTAAATGGCAACGGAATATTCAGTCGAGTGTTTTGGGCATTTCAACCATGCATCACAGGGTTTGCATCATGCAAACCAATTATACAAATTGATGGGACTCGGTTGTATGGGAAGTACAAAGGCCGCTACTGATGGCAGTTGCACAAGATGGCAACAACAACATTTTCCCCATTGCCTTTGCCCTTGTCGAGGGGAAGACCGATGGTGCTTGGAGCTTTTTTCTGAAAAATCTGCGGACACACATGGCTCCTCAACCAGATCTCTGTTTGATCTCGGACAGACATGCCTCCATTGAAATTGCCTACAATAATCCTGCAAACGGTTGGCATGACCCTCCTTCTACGCATGTCTATTGCGTTAGGCATATCGTCCAAAATTTCTCGAGGGAGATCAAGGACAAAACATTGAGGAAAGCGATTATGAATGCGGGATATGTATTGACACAACCCACATTCAAATATTATCGCGACGAGATCCGTTTGTCAAATTCGGAAGCCGGTAGGTGGATCGACAATATTCCGGTGGAAAAATGGACTAGGTCATACGACAATGGCCAAAGATGGGGGCATATGACAACGAATCTTATTGAATCAATGAATGGGGTATTCAAATGCATACGAAGCCTCCCAATCACTGCCTTGGTAAAATCTACGTATTTTAGGATGGCTGCGTTATTTTCCAAAAGAGGTGAAATGTGGAATGCGGTGTTGCAATTTGGACAACTATGGAGTGAAAGCTGCATGAAATACATTAAGGCTGAAAGTGCTAAAGCCAACACTCATATGGTTATACGGTTTGACCAACACAGCCACAACTTCATTGTGAAAGAGACAATCGACCACAATGAAGGCCTGCCAAGACAAGAATATAGGGTCATGCTACCTTCTCAATGGTGCGATTGTGGCAGGTTTCAAGCATTTCGTATGCCTTGCTCTCATGTTATTGCCACTTGTGCTCATACCCATCAAGACGCGCTGCAACTTCTGTCAAACATTTACAAATCTGAAACGTTGCTCAACGTTTACAACAACAACAACTCTCCTTTGGTAGCAAAACCAGATTATTGGCCTGCATACGACGGCGAAATAGTGTGGCACAATGACCAAATGCGAAGGAACAAGAAGGGTCGTCCCAAAAGTAAGCGCATCACAACAGAAATGGACGATCTTGACAAGTTGGAAAGAAAGTGTGGTTTATGCCGTCAGGTCGGACACAATCGCAAAAACTGTCTGAATCATGCGTCTGCCTCGACCACATAAAAATTGTAATACATAAAATCTTTCCTTAATTGTGTTGTAAACATTTGGGTTTTCCGTTAACAGATTTTGCTACAATTAATAAAACGCGTACAAGAATAATTAACGATATTCCGTCTACGAAATTACAACTGTTAACACAATTTCATCTGACCCATGCATCATCAACATTACATCGCTGTCTGTTTTGACTTCCTCCAACCATACATTAGGTCTTCCTGTCGCATGTGAGGTTGTTGTTCGTTTTCGCTGGATCCTTCGAATTTTTTCCCCCTCCGCAATGTCTCCATCTAGCCATCGCATCAACTCCCGCTTCAGACGCTCCATGGAGTGAATGTACCAGGATTTCATTTTCATCGCAGGTTTCGTGGCGGAGAAGATAACGTAACCATCTCTGCTAAAAATCATAGGCGACGTCATGACGCAAATATCAGAGTACAAAATAAAAATACAGTGCGAGAAAGTGTGCGAAATTTCGGAGAAACAGACGAATTATTTATAAAACAGCATTTTGCCCTAGTTTTGCCCTAGGAGCCAAGTGAGATGGCGCCTCCTCTCACTTTTAAGGAGCATGCGCCATCTCACTTGGCTAAAAGCCAAGGGAGGCGCCAAGTGAGATGGTGCCTAGGGCAAAAGTGTAGGTGCATGCGCCAATTCAGATGGCTCCTCCTTTGGGGAGTCATCTGAAACATGGTTATTTGCGTAATTTTTTCCGAAACCCGGTTATTTGCGAAATATTATTTTAATATATGGTTATTGTAAAAATTTTTTTGCATATTTCCACCAGTGAAATATCATTTTTGTTTGCTTCTGTACAACGCAGGCAATCGTTTAATGCAGAAATATTAGAGGAGTCTATTTTCTGTTATGGTGTGCTAGAATTTCCTAACAGGAAATAAAAACATCCTATAGTAAATATGTTGTATTAAATAGAAAAAAGTTTGTTTCACCTAATTTCTAGTATTGAAAGTTATAGAAATATTCCTTAGTAATTACTCTCATGTGACAATCCTCCTGTTATGACAGATAAACAAGAACCATCATCTCAATCTACCAATTCTGCAACATACTTTAAAGCGGTATCATAACTTCAATCTCAGTCAAATAGATCTCTAGGGCTCAACATCACAGGAACAAAACCAGCAAATGCCATGTGAAGCTATTGACAAGTAGCTTAAACCAATAAAATACCAACTCCATGTCATAAAGAAATTCAGCACTCAATCTTTATTGAACATAGTTCTCTAAAGATTAAAGTTTTCTTAACAGAGAATAGAGAACATACATCTAACATGAGCTGATGGTGATATTTAGATCAAGTCATTAACTAAGGTTTTTTGATGGATTATATGCTTACAAATCTACTAATTAGTTGGACCTAAATATTAATTCCATGTTTCAATCTCAAATAAAGCATTTAAAACAAAGTAAGTTAATGGACAAACTATTATTAACATGTGAAATAAAGCACTTAAAACAAAGACTTGAATTTGTCATTTTATGCACCATAAGCGTGTAACGAAGAAAGAAGAAAGAACAAAGTAGAAGATGTGTTGGAAGACTTGATGGGAAGAAGAAGCGTGTAAAGAAGAGAAAAGCGGTGTTAATGTGATAGGTTAGCAGCTCAAGAAGCTTTTGAAGGATATTTGAAATTTGAAAAGGCAAAAGGTGGTATAGGCAGAAAATAAAACAAAAGCGTTGAAGCAAAATGCTGGATGAAGAAGCTATACACGTGGCCAAGTTTGGAGCAAGCAGAGTATATTGGTATTTTCCATACTAGTGTAGATGTCAACTTTGGAATTTATTCAAAAGTGTTGGTTGACCGGTAGAGTATTTTTCATGCCATAGGTTATTATTTGACCATAACTTTGACCATAATAGTATGGTTGAAAATAATTCTTTAACTCTTATTCTCCTTCTTTTTTTTTAGACAAATAAAAATTTGATTGAATAAAAAAAATTCAAAAATATAAGGTAATCGATCGGATCCAGCTCAAATCAAAACTATCTTACTACATCATAAGAGTAGCAAGGAGTTTCCTAACCTTATTTCTCCATCCTCTATAAACTATGTTATCTATGATTTTTCTATCAATTTGTTTGTTCTGTACATCAGTGCCAAAAGTTTTATCATTTCTAAACCTCCACACTTAGTAAACACTCTCCGTGAAGGCTAGATTCAACAATATACCACTTAAACTTTTCCATTTTGTCTTCTTTATTACCCAATCAATCTCCTGTGTACATGGCAGAGGCTCGTGATCCTCCTGGATCCATCTCAGCACTGCTCTCCAAATCTTGGCAGTTTCTCGACAATCAAACAAGAGGTGACCCTGAGATTCGTCAGCATGACAGAAGTTGCATTTAGCACTATCAATCACTACAAAAATTTTCAGCTATCTCGAGTCTCTAGTCTCTCATTGCACGTGATCCAGAGGTTCACAATTACTCTGGGCAGAGCCAAGTTCCCATAGAACAATGTTTTCCAATGCACCTGGTTCAAACTCCCAGTCATACTGTGATACATTCTCTATATTGAAAGAGTTACCGCATAATTTTAGTTAGAATAAAAGTCCTAATTTATAGGAGTGACTTAGTCTTTATTTGAATTCTGCTATCCTTAATTTATGCAACCACTTAGCATTATCATCCTTTATTTTAGCATGATTGATAGCTTTCAGTTATTTACCTTTTATCGTGTATTCAATCGTTATTTAAGTCGATACTATAGTTAATAAAACAAGAGTCATTCTGTCCAAATTTGTTTAGTTCTTTTTGAGTTTCAATTAATTAAAGTTCTAACAATTTGGTATCAGAGTCCCCATTGGGCCTGATCTATCAAAGCAGCAATCTTTGATATTCCAAAAAAAAAAAGACTACAGAAGGGAGTTTTGTAGAACCCGCAATCCCACGCTTTGATGGTTATTATGACCATTGGAGCATGCTAATGGAAAGTTTCCTCATATCAAAGGAATAACGGGAGCTAATTGAGCCTGGCTATGTTGAGCCAGCAAGTGGATTGATACCAACAGAAGCACAATGAAAGAAGAACGATGAGATGAAGATGAAGGATCTCAAAATAAAGAACTATCTCTTTCAAGCGATTGATCGAACTCTTCTCAACACCATCCTTAAGAAGGATACTTATAAAGAGATATGGGATGCTATAAAGAAAAAGTTTGAAGGAAATGCAAGGGTCAAAAGGTCTCATCTTCAAGCTCTCCGCAGAGAATTTGAAACTCTTGAGATGAAATCCAGTGAAGGTGTAACAGAATACTTTTCAAGGGTCATGACAGTGGCCAATAAAATGCGAATTTATGGGGAGGAGATGTCATACGTTAAAGTGGTTGAAAAGATTCTATGATCTCTAACTGAGAAGTTTAACTATATTGTTTGTTTTATTGAAGAGTCAAAGGACATCGATGATCTTTCCATTGATGAGTTACAAAGCTCATTAATAGTGCATGAGCAGAAGTTCCAAAGACGCGGAGGCGAAGAACAAGCCTTGAAAGTTACATATGAAGGGGGAAGAGGTCGTGGTCGAGTTGCTTACAGAGGAAGGGGAAGAGGTAAAGGTCGAGCAGATTTTAACAAGTCAACCATAAAGTGTTACCAATGTCATCGACTTGGACATTTTCGTTATGAATGTCCTCACAACGTCCTCACAACAGAGAAGCTAATTATGTAGAATTTGATGAAGAAATAGAAATACTTTTGATGTCTTATGTGGAGTTGTATGAAGCTGAAAGACAAGATACACGGTTTCTTGATTCAGGATGCTCTAATCATATGTGCGGTGATCGAACTATGTTAAATGAACTTGATGAAACATTCTGACATTCTGTAAAATTGGGAAACAACACTAAGATGGATGTGATGGGAAAAGGAAGTGTGAAGTTGCTGCTAAATGGAATGAATCTAGTTGTTACTGAAGTATACTATATTCTTTGAGTTGAAAAATAATCTCTTAAGTATTGGGTAGTTCCAAGAAAAGGATTTGACAATTCTAATCAAGGGAGGAAGCTGCAAGATATTTCATCCAGAGAAAGGTTTGGTTATTCAAAACAACATGAGTGCCAATAGGATGTTTATCTTGCTGCCACAAACTCAAGTCTCTCCACAAGCAAAATCTGATCAGTGCTTTCATACAAAATCTCAAGAAATGTCGCTTCTCTGGCATCAAAGGTAGGACATCTAAGTTATAAAGGCCACAAAACATTGTTGCACAAGAACATGGTTCGTGGAATTCCTAACCTCTCTATCTCCACTGTAACAGGCGTTGATTGCATCAACAAAAAGAAACACCGTGATTCAATTCCAAGGAAGAGTAATTGGAGAGCAGCGCAGAAGTTAGAACTCATTCATTCGGATATCTGTGGTCCTATCAGTCCCATATATAACAGCAACAAAAGGTACATCCTATTATTCCTTGATGATTATAGTAGAAAAGCATGGATGTATTTTTTGGTAGAAAAGTCTGAGGCTTTAAATTATTTCAAATGCTTTAAAATCATGGTTTAGAAGGAAGTAGAGAAATCTATAAGTGTCTACGCACTGATAGAGGAGGTGAATTTAATTCAAATGAATTCAATGATTTTTGAAAACAAAGTGGGATTAAGAGGCAATTAACCACTACTTATACTCTGCAGCAGAATAGCATTGTCGAATGGAAAAATAGAACTGTTATAAACATGGTTCGCTCTATGCTATCTGGTAAAAATATTCCAAAAACATTCTTGCCAGAGGCGGTGAACTGGACTGTTTATGTTCTAAACAGGTGTCCCACTTTGGCAGTCAAGGATGTAAAACCAGAGGAGGCTTGAAGTGGAGTAAAACCCTCACTTGATCACTTTCGGGTATTTGGGTGCATAGTACACGCTCATGTTCCAGAATAAAGGAGGACTAAACTTGACAATAGAAGTCTTACATGTGTTTTGTTAGGAGTTAGTCAAGAATCAAAAGGATATAAGTTGTTTGATTTGGTTGCTAAAAAGGTTATTGTGAGTAGAGATGTCATCTTTGAGGAGGAAAAGAAATGGGATTGGAATGAAAAACAATCTGTACTGGATTTAGAATGGGAAGAAATGGCAAGTGAAAATGAGAACAAAGAAATAACAAGTGAAAATGATAATGAAGAAAATATTGACAGGGAGATTTGTGAAACCCGTGTCGAGGGAGTTGGAGAAATGGGGGATGATTATGGTGATGGAGAAAAGAGAATGAGGCGACCTCCTGTTTGTGGCGAAGGTTTGTTCGACGATGAAGCTCACTTCACTTTAATGGTGTCAATTGATCCATTGTGTTTTGAGGAAGCTGTGAAGAGTAAAAATTGGAAATTGGCCATGGATAATGAAATCAAATCCATTGAAAAGAACCTTAATGGACACTAATTGAACCACTTGTTGGGGCCAAAATAAGTGGAGTAAAATGGGTGTACAAAACCAAATACAATGAACATGGAAAAATTGACAAGTACAAGGCTTGTTTGGTCTCTAAAGGGTATTCTCAAAATCATGGAGTGGACTACACAGAATTTTATGCACCAGTGGCAAGGATGGATACAGTGAGAATGATTGTTGCTCTAGCGGCATATAAGAATTGGCAGATTTTTCAATTAGATGTCAAGTCAGCTTTTCTTCATGGTGAGCTGAGTGAAGATGTTTATATGGAACAACCAAGAGGATATGAAAAAGAGGGCAGTGAGCATCTTGTTTACAAGTTACACAAAGCTTTGTATGGATTAAAACAAGCACCACGAGCTTGGTTTAGTCGAATCGAAGCATATTTCATTGGTGAAAGATTTTAGAGGTGTGATAGTGAGCAGACATTATTCACAAAGAGAAGCAAAGAAGGAAAAATTATAATTGTAAGTGTTTATGTTGATGAATTAATTTTTACTGGAAATTGTGAAGTTATGATGTCTGAATTTAAAAGCTCTATGTTAAGAGAGTTTGATATGTCAGACTTGGGTAAGATGAGGTTTTTTCTTGGGATATATATATATATATATATATATATATATATATATATATATATATATATATATATATATATATATATATATATATATATGTCAAAGAAAATATGCATTAGAAATTTTGCATAGGTTTGGCACGATGGAAAGTAACTCAGTGTGCAATCCAATAGTTCCAGGATTTAAAGTAAGTAAAGACGGAGATGGAAAAACTGTTGATGAAACATACTACAAGCACTTGGTGGGAAGCTTAATGTACCTCATTGCCTCGAGACCTGACATCATGTTTGTTACTTATCTCATAAGTAGATATATGGTCAAACCAATGCAAATTCATCTACAATTGGCTAAGAGAGCACTTCGATATTTAAAAGCGACTTTGAATTATGGACTTCATTATAAGAAAGGAGGAGATGGTGAGCTGTTAGTGTTTACAGATAGCGACTATGTCGGAGACGTGGATGATAGGAAGAGTACATCCGGTTATGTGTTTTTAATGAGCTCAGGGGTTGTTTCATGGTGTTAGAAAAAACAGCCTATTGTGACTTTGTCAACAACAGAAGCCGAGTTTGTGGCTGCTGCAACATGTGTGTGTCAAGGAATCTGGATGAAAAGAATTTTAGAGGTGTTGGGACATTCTCATGGAGATGGTATAACCGTAATGTGTGACAATAGTTCTACCATCAAGCTGTCTAAAAATCCTGTTATGCATGGTCGCAGCAAATATATTGATGTGAAATTTCATTTTTTAAGGAATCTTATTAGAGGGGGCACAATTGAACTAGTTCATTGTGGGAGTGAAGATCAATTGGCAGACATAATGACCAAACCATTGAAGCTTGATGTTTTTCTGAAGCTTTGAAAGATGTTGGGAGTATGTGAAATTCCTGACATAAACTAATTGCTTCACAACATTTAGTTTAAGGGAGGGAATGAAAGAGTTATTGCATAATTTTAGTTAGAATGAAAGTCCTACTTTATAGGACTGACTTAGTCTTTATTTGAATTCTGCTTTCCTTAATTTGTGCAACCACTTAGCATTATCAGCCTTTATTTTAGCATGATTGATAGCTTTCAGTTATTTACCTTTTATCGTGTATTCAATGGCTATTTAAGTCGATACTGCGGTTAATAAAACATGAGTCATTCATTCCAATTTTGTTTAGTTCTTCCTTTGAGTTTCAATTAATTAAAGTTCTAACATTCATATCAAACTTCTCTCTCTTCATCATATGCTCCCAATCCTGATTTTGCTGCACCAAATCTCTCATTTTCAGAATTGCTTTAAGAATCCATGAGGCATTTGCGGGGAATGCAGCCTCCATAATTGGTTGCTTCTTAAAGTAGTATACATGAATCCATTTTCCCAAAGGCTATCCGCTTTATCACAAAGATTCCACAACAGTTTCAATAACGTGGTATTATTCCAGACCTCAATGTCGATTATGTTTAAGCCACCTTTTCGCTTAGGCAGACACACATATTTCCAAGCTATTGGTGCTTTCCTGCTTTTCTTCGATTTACCAGTCCAGAAAAAGGTGCGAAAATGGAGTTTATTCTGTGGAGCACTGTTTTAGGGAAAGGCAGACATTGGAATCAATATTTTGTCATGGCAAAGATTACACTTCGGAGCAGTTGGATTATGCCTGCCTAGCTAAGGAGTCTCAAACTCCAATGAGTAATCCTTTGGACAATCCTATCAATCAAGACAGAGTAGTGATGAACTGCCAGTTTTATGCTTGACATAGGAATGCCAAGGTACCTAAACATCAACTTACCTTCACCAAACTAGCTAATTTCTTTGATGGCTTTCTTTGTGTTATCATCAACTCCTCGAAATAGATACACATTTGTTAGGATTAACCTTTAGCCCCGTTGACTTCGAGAACTTCGTAAACGTGTTGATCATCATTTCCACAAAAATCGTATCTCCTCTTGCAAAGAGAAGCAGGACATCCGCGAAACACATGTTCGTGAGCCCAATCTTTTTAAGCTTCGCATGGAAATTGAAGTTATAGTTCTTCTGTATTCTTTGAAAGCACCTGTTGAGGTATTCCATCATGATGACAAATAAAAGAGGGGATATTGGATCCCCTTGGCGAAGGCCGCTGCAAGCTTTCAGGACAGGGGAGTGATTTCCATTCACATTGAAATGATAAGAAACCGAAGATATTGCAAGCATGATCCAGGTAGTGAACTGTTTAGGAAAACCACCAACTTCATTCAACACGCATTCCATCACTCTCCAATCTATCGTATCATAAGCATTTTGGATATCCAACTGCATCATGCACCGGGGTATACCATTCTTCCTGCTATACCCTTTTATCAACTCATAAGTCAGGAGTATGTGTTTGTGGATGACCTGTCCAGGGACGAAAGCAGCTTGATTTTTTCCCACAATACTAGTAAGTACCTCACTCATTCTCTTGGTAAGATCCTTCGAGATGATTTTATAGATGGTGATGCAACACGAGATTGGTCTGTAGTCCTTGATTCCTTTAGTCTCCTTGCTCTTTTGAAAAAACGTAACCAAGGTGCAATTTGCAGCCTTACATAATCTGCCTCTGTCAAAAAAATCACGCACAACTCTCAAAACATCAGGTTTCACTATGTTCCACGCAACCTTAAAGAAATAGGCTCCATACCCATCAATGCCTGGAGACTTCAAGTTTCCAATATCCTGAAGGTCACCCTCAATTTCCTTATCATAAATAGGGGATATCAGATCTGCTCGTTGATTTTGCGTGAGCTAGGATCCGTCACGCATCACAATGATATCAACTCCATCAAGGCCATTATCAGCAGTTCCAACAAGCTTTTTATAGAAATGCAAAACTTCATCCTCAATGTCCTCCTGCCTCGAGATTATGGTGCCATCGTCCCGGTGCAAAACATTAATATTCTTGATTGTTGCCCTATTATTGATAGAGGTGTAAAAGTAGCTATTATTGCCATCACCCAATCTTATCCAGTCAATTTTAGCTTTTTGTTGGAGAATATTTTCCTCAGTCTCTTGCCAGTTGAGAAGATCCTCTGTAAACTTTTTAACATTATCAATTTTTGCAGCATTCATCTTATCCTGCTCTAGCTCCATATGGGCCTGCAGAAGAGCGTCCCTAGCTGCAGCAATTCGCAACTTAGTGTCTGAAATGGGCTTGCTCATTTTCTTCAAAATAGGTTAAAGTCTCTGCAACTTTTTCCATATCACATACATAGGTTCCCCCACTAGGTTTTCATTCCAACTTTTTGCTACAGCATCCAGGAAACCATCTGTGTCATCTATTCTATTGATGAATTTGAAATGAGAGGGCCTTCTCCTCTTTATTGCATTCACATGTTTAAGCCACAACAAGGCGTGGTCAGAGACACTAGGGGCCATGACATGGAGACTATAATTTTGTTGCATCCAATCAACATTTCCAATCACTCTTTCAATTCTCGGGTAGATCGCGCCAGTACTTTGCTTATTTGACCAAGTGAATTGATCCCCACTATTGTCCATTTCAAATAGATTTGTGCTCTGAAAGAGTTACTGCATAATTTTAGTTAGAATAAAAGTCATACTTTATAGGATTGACTTAGTCTTTATTTGAATTCTGCTTTCCTTAATTTGTGCAACCACTTAGCATTATCAGCCTTTATTTTAGCATGATTGATAGCTTTCAATTATTTTACCTTTTATCGTGTATTCAATGGCTATTTAAGTTGATACTGTAGTTAATAAAACTTGAGTCATTCAGTCCAAATTTGTTTAGTTCTTTCTTTGAGTTTCAATTAATTAAAGTTCTAACAATTTGGTATCAGAGCCCCCACTGGACCTGATCTATCAAAGTAGCAGTCTTTGATATTCTAAAAAGGAGAAAAATGACTACAGAAGAGAGTTTTGTACAACCCGTAATCCCACGCTTTGATGGTCATTATGACCATTGGAGCATGCTAATGGAAAATTTCCTCAGATCAAAGGAATATTGGGAGCTAATCGAGCCTGGCTATGTTGAGTCAGCAAGTGGATTGGTACCAACAGAAGCGCAACGAAAGAAGAACAATGAGATGAAGTTGAAGGATCTCAAAACAAAGAACTATATCTTTCAGGCGATTGATCGAACTGTTCTCGACACCATCCTTAAGAAGGATACTTATAAATAGATATGAGATGCTATGAAGAAAAAGTTTGAAGGAAATGCAAGGGTCAAAAGGTCTCATCTTCAAGCTCTCCGTTGAGAATTTGAAACTCTTGAGATGAAATTTAGTGAAGGTGTAACAAAATACTTTTCAAGGGTCATGAGTGTGGCCAGTAAATGCGAATTTATGGGGAGGAGATGTCAGACGTTAAAGTGGTTGAAAATATTCTAAGCTATCTAACTGAGAAGTTTAACAATATTGTTTGTTCTATTGAAGAGTCAAAGGGCATCAATGATCTTTCTATTGATGAGTTACGAAGCTCATTAATAGTGCATGAGCATAAGTTCCAAAGACGTGGTGGCGACGAACAAGCCTTGAAAGTTACATACGAAGGGTGAAGAGGATGTGGTCGAGTTGCTTACAAAGGAAGGGGAAGAGGTAGAGGTCAAGCAGATTTCAACAAGTCAACCATAAAGTGTTACCAATGTCATCGACTTGGACATTTTTGTTATGAATTTCCTCACAACAGAGAAGCTAATTATGTAGAATTTGATGAAGAAACAAAAATGCTTTTGATGTCTTATGTGGAGTTGTATGAAGCTGAAAGACAAGATAAATGGTTCCTTGATTCAGGATGCTCTAATCATATGTGCGGTGATCGAACAATGTTAAATGAACTTGATGAAACATTCCGACATTCTGTAAAATTGGGAAACAAAACTAAGATGAATGTGATGGGAAAAGGAAGTCTGAAGTTGCTGCTAAATGGAATGAATCTAGTTGCTATTGAAGTATACTATATTCCTGAATTGAAAAATAATCTCTTAAGTATTGGGCAGTTGCAAGAAAAGGATTTGACAATTCTGATCAAGGGAGGAAGCTGTAAGATATTTCATCCAGAGAAAGGTTTGATTATTCAAACCAACATGAGTGCCAATAGGATGTTTATCTTGCTGCCACAAACTCAAGCCTCTCCATAAGAAAAATCTGATCAGTGCTTTCACAGAAAATCTCAAGAATTGTCGCATCTCTAGCATCGAAGGTATGGACATCTAAGTTATAAAGGCCTCAAAACATTTCTGCACAAGAACATGGTTCATGAACTTTTGCAACTCTCTATCTCCATTGTAACATGCGTTGATTGCATCAACAAAAAGCAATATCGTGATTCAATTCCAAGGAAGAGTAATTGGAGAGCAACGCAGAAGTTAGAACTCATTCACTCGGATATCTGACGTCCTATCAGTCCCATATCTAACATCAACAAAAGGTACATCTTATTATTCCTTGATGATTATAGTACAAAAGCATGGGTGTATTTTTTGGTAGAAAAGTCTGAGGCTTTAAATTATTTCAAATGCTTTAAAATCATGGTTGAGAAGGAAATAGAGAAATCTATTA